GTTTAACATTGCCCAAGGAGATAGATTTGTAGTGTTGAAACATAATTGTCATTATCTAGCAATTTTTAACATGTTTTAATATCCTAAAATATATATATATATATATATATATATATATATGCAGGGTATCCTAGCATAGCCTCATCAGTGGTGGCAATGGCATCAGTGATCTTTTGCTGTAGATCAGTAATGTCCTGTATCTTGTTCAATACACATTATCTTTAACATAACCCCATAGGAGTGATATCTGGTCAATCAGGTGGTCAGGGAATTGGGTGATCCCTTCCAATCCACTGATCTAGAAATGTTAGGGATTCATTAAACAATACCTCTTTCATCAACAGGATACCTGAAATACACAAATGCAATGTGATTATAAACTTTATAACTACTGAGTACATAGAACAAATCTGATTAAGATATCACATCAATTGCCTTCGTAATATATTTTTTTAAATTGTAAAGAGACTTTATGGACACCCTGTGTATTAATAATAAAGTGTAAAAAATTTTTGTGCAACAGATTTCATACTTTAGGACTTCATCAGACAAAAGTGATATTTACATTGATATAACTACATATGTACACAAAGGGAAGGGGATGGTGAAATTTTAAACTTTTAGATTAAATTTCTTTTCTTTTTAATGTGTTTTGGTATATAGTCTAGCCAATTTCATTTGGTTTCTTTTTTTTTTTTTGTTATGTTTTTATCACTTTTGTTATTAAATATCCCACATTGTGATAATAAAAGATCTTCCAAGAAAGGTGAAATGTAAGAACCTGGATACAAATTTATTTTAGATGGTCTCATTATTAAAGCACTTTCTATACACTTTCATTTTAGTAAAGTGTTTTATCTTTTAATTAAACTAGCATTTTTAAATCAAAATTATGATTAGACTCCAATGAAATCCTAAAGGATGAAATATATCACATGCAAAATTTTTGCACTTTGTCATTAATTTTCCTAATATGGTTCTGGTATATAAAAATTTATACTTCACTTTCTCTCATATATATATATATATATATATATATGCTTGTGTGTAGAATTAAGTTTAGTATCAAATGAACATAAAGGGGTTAAGCTAATTAGAACTGATAAATATTTCAGGTTATGATTCTAATGGCTTGATTATGATTAGTTTGGTTGCTAAAGATCTAATTCAGTGAGTGTTTAGTCCAAATTCACACATTTTAGCATGGTTCCAAAGTCTGAAATTACCTGTAAATATAACAAGTTTTTCTGTACTTAGTTCTGCTAATAGTGCTTATTTAGAAAATGGATGTGAGAAGAAATGCTGGTCTCTAGTTAAGAGGCTAGCATCTCTAGAAATGTGCTGCCTCTGATTGTTGGCTTATTTGTTGCTGTTTACCTAATTGGTGTTTAGATATTGTGACTACTGTGTGTAACAATGGCCCATGTATTGTATCTTAATATTTAGTAATTGTCAGTTGATGTTGAGTAGTCAAAACTAAATTTGGCTTTTGTTCTCTGCTATGGAAATTCTCAGCTTAAACAGAGCAAATTTTCAATTCTTCTAACATTTGTGCAAGAAGCTTTCTGTGTAATTAACAATTGGTTCAGTTGAATGAATATACAAATTCTCATCAGTTTTTTATTCAGTTTTTTTTTTTCACTTCTTTTTTGAATTTTGGATTTGCTTAAAATAATGCAGACTTTGCTAAGTAATTTCAGAATCCAACTCTAAAGATTTCAGCTAAATTATTTGATTCATCAAATATTTATCTGACCTCTGTTCCCTCTTTACCAAAAGGAGTTGATGTCAGCTTATGAAATATGAAAGAAAAATCATTTTGCAAAAGCTAAAAGAAAATGGATTCTAGTACAAGATATTTTAATATATGGGATATGTGTGTATGTGTGAAATACTATTTGTAGAAGGCTAAGAAAATGGTGGAAACTAGGTGCCAGGGTTAGTAATTCTCACTTTGGAAGTGGCACTATGTGGCTTCTTTTCTCTCTCTCCCACACACACACACACACACACATATATATATATATATATATATATATATATATATACACACAATAATATGTCAGATTTTATCATGCAAGTTAATGTTGGATAATACCTATTTTATTGCAAAATGTTTGACTTGCATAATAAAATCTGCCATTTTATATATATATATATATATATATATATACACACACAGTATATGTATAAGGATTAATATACACTGATGGGAATTAAATTTTAATACCCTGAAAGATGATGACAGTTCTGACATGGGTACAGTATGTGCATGCTTGTGAAGAGTATATATTCTGATAAAAATAAACTTTTCAACTATTTTGTGATGTAGCAACACTCATACCAGTACATCATCTCTCTCTTTGAGATTTAAACAATGATACATGCAGCAATAAGATCCAATAGAGTGAATGAACTCATACAAGCAAATGTCATGCTACAGACATGCACATGTGCTTCTTTAGCACATTTACTGTCAGCTGAGAAGAGTTAGACTGTCTTTGAGAGGTTTGATAATCATTTCAGAAAAATGTTGAACATGACACATTAGTGGTGCTTTGATGTAGACAACTGTTATCAAATGATAATTCCTACACTTGTAGACCAGTTCCTGGATGGCTACATACTATAGATGCTCAACGGGATCAACACATTGTAAAGGCAGCAATAACACACTAAACAGTATCCCTAGTACAGAGGAGAGTAAATATGGCCCAATTAGTATCTAACTGAGCTTCCACATACACTATTGTGCCTATCTACACTAGTATCATTAGAAGGTTACTTGGTGGATCAAAGTGTACTCTAAGTGTTCAGTGATGAAAGTAGGTTCTCTATTCATGCAAATGATAGTTGTTTGCATGTGTAGCATAGACTTAGGAAATGACATCCTCCAGCAGGTATTCACCTACAATATATGGCATCATAGTGTGAAGTGTTACATAGGTTACAATTTTCGCTTACTTTTGGCATTTATGGAGTGAACACTGAATAGTGCCATGTACATCCAGAACATTATTCAACTTGTTATACTGTCACTCCTCCAACAAAAATGCAATATGCTATTCCAGCAGAATAATGCCCACCCACATGATGCCCATGCTATTCAACATGAGCTGCAAAGTGTTCAACAACTTCCCTAACTGGTATGATCAACAAATTTGTTTCCCATTGAACATGTATGGAATGATGTTCGAAACAATTCTTGCTGTAAAAGGCAAAAAATAATGTATTGCAGGATTATTATGTTAGGTTGTTTGGTTTTATATATCAACCCTTGTCAAGTTATTTGATGTCAAATTTTCTATAGGGGTACTCAGTGAGAAATTGAGCTCACTACTCAATAGTAGTGGTTACGCCTGCTTCCCATTACCCCATGCTAAAGTGCCTTGCAGGATGGCATTTGCCATCTGTATGAGTATATGCATGCAAGTGTACACACCTGTGTTAACATCCAAGGAATATATTACAGTATATTAATATAGAATCTGAGTACTGTTGATACATCCTTCATTTTGGAATCTTTGCACATATTAAACTGTATATATGATCATTTACTTAATCCAAATATATGATCTCTGTGTTTAATCTTGTGTAAATTGAACATATGGTATTGTAGTTTTATTTTCCATCAGTGTATACACCCACACACACCTACTCTTGTTAGTTTTTCATTGTGATAGGTATATACAAAACATAAACAGTTAGCAGTAATAAAACATTCATTATAATAAACCAAATGTAAAAAATCAGGCTAATATATATCATAAAGAATGTTTGTATTAAAATCTTGCATGAGTTGCAAAATAAAGGTTATTATGGGTATTCAAAAAGTATAACTTAACATGACACAAGGACAAATTGGAAAGGAAGATTGTGGTTTACTAATCTTCCCAATAAGGATGGCCTACCTGCTATTTTATTCTTATAGTTTATGCTCCAATAGAATCTGGTGGCTCTCACAGTAAATAAAGTAACAACAAGCCAACTTGGTACATCAACACTCTTTTCAGCATTCTGTCTAATTTTTGTAATGCTGTTGTTGAGATGGTTTCAATTCTGCCTCAGATTTTAAATTTTTTTAATCTTTTGCAACACACCTGAACCATTCCAAATGGTCCAATAATAATTGCCAGCTTTATCTTTGTCAGTTTTTTTTCATTTCACATGCAAGAAATATTTTGCCAGCTTTTCATGCACTTTCATTTTCATTCTGTGCTCTGATCGAACAACAATACTCACTGTCTGATAGACTTTTTGTTGTTTTTGACACTTCTGAAACTTAATTTAACTTCTTCATTGATATCAGCTAGAATCTTTAGACATTTTTCATACGAGATGTATTGTCAATCAGTATTGTACTAAAAGACTATCTGTTCAATTTGACATTTTCTTTATCTTTCTTTTAATACAAAGACAAGGAAGAAATAATCTAGCTTTCTAGACAGGTTTTATTTAATTCTCCCTATGTAAGTCTTTATCTGCATTCAAATGGAATATGGCAAAAGGTCCAATTCTTTTCATGCATACTTTGGGAAAATTGAATATTTTTAGAATGTAATAAATTATCCTCTATAAATATATTATGTATAAATTTACATTCAATATATATGTAATTTAAAAATATATGTAAAAATTTCATTTCACTGATAAATTTTATTCACAAACTGCTAATAAAACGTTTTATAGCTTAGTGATAAATGAGCCTATAATTTTTTGTATGTGTTTTACGACTTATCAACCTTCTGCAGGTTATTTAAAGCCAGAGCTGGGGGTGAGAAGAAGAGGTGGATCCATACCTTTCTCAAGGGTATTCGTGCATAAATAAATATAACGATACTCTTGGGAAAATTATGACTCCTCCTCTTCTCTCCCCTGCTATGAGTAAATAGCAGGTCAGACTGGATCCTATAACCTTGGGTGCCAACCAGTCTAGAAGGACAGCTCAGAATTCAAAACCATTCAGAACAATTATCCATTACACCACCCACACATTCAAGCTTACATCACCTGATATTTCCTAGTGGTCACCCATTTAGGTACTGACCAAGCTCAACATTGCTTAACTTTGGTGATCATACAAGAACCAGTGTTTCAACATAATATGGCTGTAAGCCTCCTGTAAATTTAAAAGCTAATTGTACAACTACAAAACTAATTGCTCATTCTGATTATCAAAAAGAAAAATTTTAGTTAAAACCTGGTAGTAAATACTGTGAAATTTATCATTTTGCAAAAAATAAATTTCCTGACTTATAGCCAAAATGCAGACATCAACTACTTTTCTAATGAACTTTATTTTTCAGTACTTTATATGTTTTAAATGATGGTCAAAATTTTGAATTTCTCTCTTGAAAATATGGTCTAATATTTTTTCACTTGGGGAAAAGCCAAAGAAAATATTGAATGCCTATAACTTATGATGTCTCTGAGATTTAAAATTTGAGCTCTGATCACTGTTGTTGTTATCAAAATTCCAACCGTGTAAAAAGGTAAATAGGAATTGTTAAGTTTCTCAAAGATTCTTTCAGAGTTTCTGATCTTTGGAAAAATAATCTTGATGTAAATATAACTACTTTTATGGGAATATCATGTATCCTTAATAGTTTTCACACAATTAATGATCATAATTTATTCTGTTGATTCACAATGTTGTTACTACCAAAAGTAAATTGGAATTATAGCAATGAATTTTTTTTAAGAGCCAATCTCTTGAATTATCCTTTGGAATGACACATTTGAATTTCAAGAAAAATAATTGTCAGAAGAAACAATTTTGGTTCATCCAAAGACTGAAAGTTCACTTCTACTTGATAAATTTAAAGATTTATTCTTTGAGGAAGCATTCAGTTTGCTTATCTAAAATACATAATTTATTTCATAAATATACTGTAAATGAAGCATATTAATTAACAGACTAATTCTGTTATAATTACTTTCACATTAAGCACAAAGAATTAGTGCTTTTTGGGGGTTAATTTATCGCTCTAAGTATATCATTTAACATTTAGTATTGAAAAGTTTGCAATAATTTTGATGTCATACCAACAACTTAGCATCAAAGTATCTTTATTATTTCATGTACTTCTAGATAAATAATTCTTGCAAAAAATTGTGTATATCTCATTTTAAGCTTTAACTTATATGAAAGTGCTGATTTACTTGAGGTACTGAATGTTTTTATTGGCTTTGGTATTCTCAATTTTATTTTTATTTCCCTCCCCAACCAAAAAAAATAACCTTATGAAACTGAGGTTATAAAAGATATGAACATTTTAAAAGTTTCTTCTATAGACTACATTAAATGCTAACATGATACTCAAGTAAAAGCAAATACTTTCTTCAGAATTTAGATACACATTCAAATATTTGCTCAGGGCTTAAAAACTTTGCACTAACTCTTTGGCTTTCTTCTCATCTGTGTTAGTATTTTCTGTCTGAATTTCTGAGATAAAAATTTATCATTATTTACATCATTTACAGTTGGGCTAATGTTCTCATCTTTTTTGCTATTATCACAAAGTCCCAGCCACTCTGTCCTCCAGTCTTCTTCAGGTGTCTATTAAAGCATGTAACATTCAAGAAATCTCAAACTAAATCCTTTATTTAATATTTTATTTGATAGAAATAGACTGTTCACATTCCACTATCCATGTCTAAGGATATCTTGTTATTTAGTACTGCTCAGTTATTGCTCATCCTGTTTTCACGCATTCTAATTCTGCATTACTCAGTTACTGTGTCACCAAATTCATAAATCAACACTATGGACTATCCTTTAAATAAAGACTTCAGTTTGAAATTCCTTGAAGGTCACCTAGATTGAGAGATACCTGAAGAAGGCTGGAAGGCACAACAGCTGAAACATTTTGATAACAACAACAACAACAAAGATGAGAGCATGAGTCTGAATGTAAATATTGTATTCTTCAACATTCTTATTACAAAAGGTGACGGTAAGTTTACTTTCTATTAAATACTTAATATTGTTAAATCTATAGCAAGTGTCATATTCACTAGTTACAGGATCACCAAAATGATTGTAATTTTTATCTATAATTAATATTTTGTCATTTTTATACTATTGCAGCATTAATTTCCATTTTAATTGTAAAAAACAATGTTGTTTATTATTATTGTTATTATAAATGTATTTTCTGTGACTGTTTTGCAAGATGATTTTAACCACTTGAAACTGGGATATTTTTTCTCTTTCATTGCACCAACTGTTTTTTTAATTTTACTGTATCTCTTTTCTGAACCCAGTGTTCTTATTTACTGCTAATATCAATGTATTACACCATATCATCAAAATATCACTACCTGATACATTGTCAAAGTAAGAAAGCTCAAAAGTTCTTCATAAGATCTGAGATTTTTAAATACTAGGATATTGTTTATAAAATGCTGTTTAAATTTAATTACCAGTGCTAGGCAAAAGTACTGGCATCTTGTGAATATATACTCATCACACATCCAATTGCAAGTTGGTGAGGCTATTTATCCCATAGTTGGAAGTATTGAATTCAGAGTTGTCCTTCTCCTAGACTGGTTGCTACCAAAGTCTATCCTGCTATTTACCCATAGCTTAAGGAAGAAGAGATGGATTAATATCTTTCCCAAGGGTATTTGCATACAAGTGACTGTAACAAACTCAACTGATATTCAAACTTGGCTTTTTGATTCCTCAATTTGAGCTGCTGGCCATTACTCCACCATGCCTCTATGTTAAATCTATGTGTTTAATGAAGATTAATGTGCATTGGCAAGTAAGATTATGTTGAAAAATAAATATTTTTTGTGCAAAATAAATGCTATTTCATCATTAAGCTATGGAATTATTGATGTATCTAAATAAAGTACACTATTTTCAATACAGCATAAGTAGTTATTAAACCTGCCAATAAATGAGGTCATTTTGGTAAAATATTTGATTAACTGTTCCAAGACAAAGAAATTTCCTGCAAAGTATCTCTTCAGACAGTTCCAAGTGGCTAATAAAATCCTCAGAAATTTTCTCTTTTTTTGTTTCAGGGAGATTAATCTATTTATATTTTAAAACTGGAAAATATTCTGTATTACACTGTAATCAAAACTTTAAAATATTTTACTTTAAACATAAAGTAAAAGTCCAGAAATTCAGGTCACTAATGAATCTCAACTTTCCAAAAACTGACAAACTTTGAAATATAATGGTCTTTTGTAGATGTGCATGCATGTATGCACATCTATTATATTTCAAAAAGGTAAATTTTAAAAAGATGAATTAAATTGTAACAATACTACATACATATTTGATCCTTATCAAGACATACTTGTTTCTCTTATTTATTTCTACAGAAATTTGATAAACACTGCTCAATAATCCCCAAAACTTTTAATGTATTTAACTATGTTATTCTATATATATATAGAGAGAGAGAGATAATATTAGTGGTAAATATACACATACGTATGCAAAATATATAGATATATATACATAGGTGTATACACATATATGTATATTTTTTGAATAAAAAATTCTGAGAGGATAGAATCCAGGTAGAACTCAATGTCCAGGACAGAATAAGGATATAATAAAAAAGGCTTAAACACTAATATTCCATGGTCATAATTTATTCCATTGGAATCGTAAATACGATCCAATTCATCAGACCTACAAATTCAAAAAGTAAACAGAAAAAACAACTCCGAAATATATATATATATATATATATATATATATATATATATATATATATATATATACATATTCTCAGATAGAGTGTATCTGTAGAGGAGGCAACAAGCAACAAAAAAATAATTAATATATATATCAGAATTTCCCAACTGTGGTTCAGTTAGTGCTTGCTAGGGGTCCCAAGAGAAATATCAATAAATATGCTAATTATACGTAAATGCATTGTTAAATAATTTTCATGCTTAATTTGACATTTATAATTTTATTAGGAATACACATCATATTCTATAGGGTATTCATTGTAAACAAAACTAAACAAAAATCTCTATTTTCTAGATATTGGTACAGAAAGTGAAATCAGTGATCAGAGCTCAAATTACAATTGTGTTTATTGCATTCACTTTCACACTTATAACCATTGACAAAGGCATGAATCCATCACTTCTTCTGGCTATAGGATAAATAGCAGGATAGACTGACCTCTCCAAACTTGGGTGGCAACCAGTTTAAGAGAAGGAATACTCTGAATTCAAAAACATAGAAAAGGCCATGGATAACCACTGCATTATCTTTCATAGACTATTCACAGATAAAGAAAAAGAATCTATGCAGAAACATGGTCACTCTCATTCTGAAGAGATAAGAAATCTATTTAGCATGCTATAAAGTAATCTACAAAATATTCACATTATGGCTTTTAGACTTATGGCCTCATTTTCCATCCCTAAATCAAGGAAACTCTTTCAGTGTCTTAGTGTCTAAGAAAATACAAGTTGAGTAGTTTGTCAGTGGTTTATATTCCTTCTATCAGTCACTTTTACATGTGGCATGATGATAGTTTTTTGCTGTTATAAACTTCTAAATAAAGTAGTTAAGTTTATTATGATTGATATTTAGCTCCATGTTTTCATAGATCTAACCCTAAAATTTGTTTTCAAGGCAGCAGTCTTTCAATAGCTTAAAACTTTGAAAAACGAAACAGATTAACAAGAAATGAATGAGAATTAAAAGTCATTCATAAAGTTTGATCTTAACTAGTGATCAGCATAAGTATTATCTCTAATTCTCCTATATGGATGTGAAATGTGGACACTGTTGGCAGAAACAGAGAGAAGGATCCAAGCATTTGAGAACAAATGCATGAGAAAACTCCTTGGCATCTTCTATTGGGAACATGAAACCTATGCGTTTGTGCAGAAAAAGATTGAAATTTTGTAGGCCATCAAGAACCTCTTCTAGCCACTGTCAAACAGTGAAAAATGGTGTGGTTTGGACACGCTACAAGACATGACAGTTTGAGCTGATGGCTGTCATTGATAGACCATTGTGGAGGAAATTCAGTGTGGCTTCTGCATTCAGATCCCCCCACAATTACAAAAATCAAAGGGATGATGATTATCTCTACGCTTTCAAATCTCTTAATGTAGTAGTTT